GTGGTAGAAAGCATGTGATGTCTACTGGCTCATTAAGCTGTGGCCACTGCCACAGGGCCTGTAAGATTCAGGAAGCTTTCAAATTGCCTATTCAGAATGGTTAGTAAGGGAGATAAGAAATAGGGTAGGTGTATGTTAAATATTTGCATAATTTAAGCCTTCCTACTAAGAGAATAAAAAGTAGGCTGAACACTCTTAGAATATACTATTTTACTCACTGTAGTGAGTAAATGTGCACTTTTTAACTTTTTCAATATGTAGATAAAAACACAGATTACATATTTAATGAATAATCATGTAGAGATAGTACATTTCTCAAACAGTTGTAGATAAATGTTTACATTTCTTCTCTACCCTGGGGCCTTGACTTGATCATGTCACTGACATGTATAAACCTAAGTCACAAACCTGCCGAAGAAGCCTCAACAGCTACTTCAGGAGGAAGTATCTAAGAAAATCGTTTCTGAAAACATTATTTTAATGCATACAGCTAAAAATGTGTGTTGATATCTCTCTCTGTGGAGCATGACTTTTCATTTAGATCAAATGACTATTTCTTCTGCATTAATTTATATCATTTTCCATTTCAAGATTTCATTGTACGTATATGAAAAATGACCAGGTAGCTGTTAATCTTCCTGCTAAAGGATGCAAGCACAGTATCAGAGAACTTTGTGAAATTATTTTCATTTTTTTACCTCATATATGAAAACAAAATAAACCTTTGCAAGTTAACTCTACAAATACTATAATTTCTAATATCAGAAATGCCACTATAAATTTAAACATTTATTATCGAGAATTATTTAACTTTACAATGATAATATGAATGCAAATTTTGATGGAGCAAATATTGCAACTAATAAGATATTCCTCCAAAATGAAGAAATATGAGGCAGAAATGTACTTGGTGTTGGCTGTGATGCACTAATTATTCATTAATTGCATCAAGACAAGTGATAATTTTCTACCACTTGCAAAGTTCTAGTGTCCACACTTATAATTTTTTTTATATACACAGTTGGGATATCAACAAGGTTGTATGATAAAGATACATCACATATAAAAATAAACATCAACATGGCAGTATGTACTTTTTCTTTACCCATTATCATTTTAGGAAGGTTTGAACCTTTGAAGATACCTCAGTTAACTTAAACATTCTCCAAAATTGGACCACCTTTGGGAAAAAAAAAAAAAAAAAAACCTCCCCTCTAATATGGTCATAGTCAGTTGGAAAGTTTTATTCAAAATTTTTATGACTGAAGTACTATCTCTATTTTTGGAAGCTTTTCTGAATGGAAGTGATTTTTTTTTTAAGTGGCCCAAAAATCACTTTCATTTTCTATGAAAGCAACCATAAAAAGGTCAAATACATGCATGATTCAATTTTAAATTCTGAAGTTATACTTTAGGTTATTTTATTCTTAATTTTATTAGGTGGAGTCTCGCTCTGTGGCCCAGGGCGAGTACAGTGCCTGCATCTTGCCTCACCGCACCTCCTGCCCTCCCAGGTTCAAGCGATTCTCCTGCCTCAGCCTCCCTAGTAACTGGGAATTACAGGCGTGTGCCACACAACAGGCTAATGTTTTATATTTTAGGTAAAGACGGAGTTTTACCATGTTGGCCAGGCTGGTCTCGAACTCCCCAACCTCAAAGTGATCGCA